CCATACATATTTTTTTAATTTTCTAAAAAGTAATCAGACTGAAATCTGAACATATTATTCTACTTAACATGGTAGTCTATTTGGCCTGAGTTCCTGAAATCTCATTTTCCATCTTTAAATTAGGTTAAATAATTCTTATGCTTTTCAACTTCACATTAAAACTGAAAAAAGTTGAGTTATTGTCTGGGGATTCTATCCAACATCACAGAAGGTGTAATATAAGTGCGAAGTATTATTAAATAATAATACATATTTCTATGGTTAAAATGGAAACTGTATGTATATAAAAATTTTTCATTTTCCTATTCACTTTCTCCTTAATATAGTCCTAAGTCTAGATGAAAAAGGGAAGCTAGTAAGAAAAGAGTTATCATTGTAGATGAGTCAATGATGACACAGATCCACATCTAAAATTTTCAAATAAGCCAAAAATCCTTTTTCAAAGAGCTTTTCAAATTCAAAATCTTGTCAATGAACAGATGTACTTTAGGAATAACAACACATCCATCTAGTAAAAAACTGAACATTCTCTAAATTCACAAAATTTAAAATATGCCTTTTACCTTCTTTTCATGCCATACAGTAGAGGCACAACATAATACAGAAGTGTTTAAAAGTACTCATTAAGTACTTAGTGAGGTCAACAATAAAAACCAAAAACAAAACTCTGTCAGCTTTTAAAAAAACATGTGTTAGTCATAGTATAATCAATTTCTTAAATGTACCATTATTAATATTTATAAAAAGATTAGCTTGCAGAAATGAAGCTCACCATTCATGAAAACTCAAATGCTGGAAATATTTAATAACAAAGGAATACATCATCTTAGTTGCTTTTTCAAATAGACTTTACTTTTAAGTAAAACTAAAAACAGCATTGTATCAAGAAGCAGATTTTATGGATAGATACCCAATTCTAAACCTTTTTAAAGCTTTAATGATTTTAATTTTCTAAGGGTCTAATACAGACTATTTTTTTTTTGTTTTAAAAGAACCCATGTATAAGTATCCGTTGTAACTTATTTTCTTCTTGATAGACAAAAATAAAATAATCAACAGTGCCTGCTAAGATTTTTTTAAAACTTGTTTTCAATTAGGTATTTTTTAGCTCATTTTAAAAAACCTACCAGTGTCTCAATTTTCTTTCGAAGTAGTTTTCCAGGATCATGATAGACCTCTTATTTTTTCATTTCATTGCTATCTTATTTCATTGATAATTTTATTAAAATAGGAAAATTCTGCCCCAAACCACTTCATTACACAAAACAGAAACCTCAAGATACTTGGACATGATTCATTTACAATGCTAAAATATTTTGTGCATATGCTATATGTACAACCTAGTGAACAAAGTATGAAAACATAGAAGATTCTTTGCCTCACTGCAACTTAATGTCCTCGCATTCGTTATAATAACCGTGCCTAAACTTGAGTATTCCCCCTCACCTTGAGCTTTCACAGAAAGCTCAAATATTTCATAACAATGAAGTAATGTAACGTGTAAAGAGCCAGGTAACAGGTTTCTCACTAAAGCCTTGGACTTAACTTCTCGAGGCCTGTTTTCTCTCTTGTAAAAAAGTAGTTGGACTATATGTCTTCTATTTAAACAGGCTGTTAGGGACTTAATTCAGGACCTACTCTATTATTATGATAGCAAAAACCTGTTAACCTAATGTGAATCAATATTCCAAAGAGTGGAATACTATATGGCCCTTTAAAAAAGCTGTAGATCCATCCATATATGCTCATTTAAAAGGTTGTCCCAGATAGCTTGCTAAGACAAAAATGAAAAATGCAGATTGTATGGCCCAATTTATATGCATTTTAAAACAGATATACATATATGTACAGAAATGTTCTAAGATACACAAGAAACTTCCAATGGTCATCAGTGGGGAATGGGATGTCAACTTTTTTTAAACCTCCTAGGCTTTTATAATATTTGAAAAAAAAATTAATAATGAACAAGTATTATTTTAATCAATTAAAAAAAAACCCTAAAAGTAAAGGCTTGCTGATCCAGGTTCTTTAATTGGAAAAGATCTGGGTTCAAATACTGTCGTTAAACTATTTAACCTCAATTTCTCCATCTGTAAAAAGGAGCTAATAGTACTAACCTCATGCAACTGTTGGAAGGCTAAAAGAAAAGCACGCGAGACACTCAGCATAACACATTGTAAGAGGACAACTAATAGCAGCTACAACTATGATTATTATGAATGTTATTATAAACTCCAGAAACTGAGTGTATTTGGAATCAGATTTCAATTCACTCAAGGATGATCAATTTCAAAGGCAACCAATTTCCTTTGTCCAAAACTAATTCAACTGGATCAGTGTAAGAGCATATTAAAATTTAAAAAGAGCTATCTCAGGTAGCAGGTGGGCTTATGGATATGGTAATCAGAGCAAAATCTGGGTTTTAATTATATATCATCTAAATAGAATATCCTTCTTCATTATATGGGTAACCTATGTGAGGAGCCAGAATATTTATGAAAGCTGGGAAGGGACCCTGATCTTTACAAAATGCTGAATACATAGGAATACACTTTTTTTTTAGTATTAATAATTCAAGCTTCCAATGTCAGTTTTTATTTTAACATACAATGTCTCATTTTCCTAAAAATTTATGGCACTGCTGGTTCATGCACATAATTTACAATTTAATTATAAATAACACGTCAAATGATTGGAGATATAAAATGAAAATCTCCATAAAACAAAATCTCCATTAAAATAAATTCCAAGAAAACTTACTGAATGGCTTTTGAATGGACCTTTTCTTCACAAAATTTTCAAAAATTCAGGATAAATATTATCAAATCAAAATACTCCAGGTTGTAAATCTGGCCTTTATACTAAAAGTACTCACAAAGTACCTAACAATATTTAATTTTTCCAAAAGACTACGAACACATCCTAAACTTCTATATAACAACTGAAAAGATGTTGCATTAAGGTAGATTAAATCAATACCTAGTACAACTGGTTTGAGTCCAACATGTTACAATTTTAGCAAGCCTTCCTGGTATTAGAGAACAGTTTCAATATCAATATGATGGATTAAAGTTTAGGTCACCCCAATTACAATTATAAAACAAGAGGTCACACACATATTTAATCCTTTTCAATATGAAAATAAAAGAAGCTCCACTTAATTTATCCACTGTAAATTTGTCAGGATTTAAACGTTTGACCCCACAAAACTCTAGAATAGTAACTATTTCAAATCACACAACTAGGTACATTTGACATTAAAGAGTTACTGTAGAGAGCCCACATGAAGTTCCCACAAAAATAAAATAAAATAAAAACTGGCACCTTAGTGAGGCTCTAAAATCTGCATGCCTACTTCATAGATCATTGCAGTGTGCTGAACTAGCATCTGGAGATTGTATTGAGCTAGCTACATGAAAGCAAAGGGAAGGGATGGAGGAGAAAGAGTTTATTAAAAAAATAAGAAAACACTTCTTAACACACCCATCGCCTATAAACAAGTGCATCAGAAACACCATTTTAAAATACTACACACGTTTCTAATTTTCTAACAGTCAAACAGATAATCTACCGCAAGCAGATCTTCCTATTCCTTCTCACTCCCACACAGTGCTTTGCCAAGAGCACCAGCCCAAGTAAAATAACCGACCGATGCAATTTCCTTGTTTACTTAAAGAATTGCAAAAAACATGTTGACTGCTTCCGAGTCCTCTGAAACAAATGAATATTTAAAAGACTTCTGATGGTCATTTTTGAAATAAGAGTGGTAATGATTCCTTCAGCTAGTAAAAATATAGTCTTAACTTTACAAAAAGGGTTAAATTTTACATTGCAGTTCATTAGCATGCCTTGTTTGCAACCAGAAGAGGAAAAAGAGGTGTGGGGGGGGTGGGGGTAGGGGAGGAGGTGGGCAGCAAAACACACAAGATGGAAAACATCACTACCTCCTTTGGTGGTTATAATTTTAAATGACCCCAAGATGGAAGGGAAGAGTTCAGGAATAGAAAGAAAGGGTTAACCGTATGAATTGGCCCCCTCCAGATTCATACTGATGTCGGAGAGAAAGAATTTATTTACACTGCAGTGTCTGGCAGCAAACATGGCTGCCCCTGCCCCCTTTAAATCTGAATAGTCTTCACTCCCTCACCAAAACCATCAAATTATGGCCATGTCTCTCTCCCCGTCTTCCTACCATAACACTAATACATCTCTTCCCTCAAAACAGTAAAACCCACACTTCCCCATTTCACAACAATCACAACACCACAACTACTAGCTTCTCTATTCTCCAGCCTTGAAAGAAAAGGCACAGAATACACACAAATATAGGAACAAAAGGCTTTCCCTTCCTAACACTTTAACAACCCCCTGTCCCTTCTCCTCCTCCCACTCTGTAATGCTTGGTCGCTAGTTCTCATCCTCAGCATTCAGTTCATTTCCTTCCCGATCCCAATGCTAGGTCTTCCAGTTTCCTGAGTCTATTTCCTATCTTCCTTTTGCATCCTGTCTCAATCATTTATCATCCCTTTTCCTAATCCATTTTTTCCTTCACTTCCATTCCCTCGTTTCTTCCTTGATGCCCATTTCTCCACACAATTCTATCTCCTTCCTCCAGACTCTTCTAGCTCTACCCTCCACCCCAAAACCTCCCTATCTCTCAGTCCTCCCAGGTCTCTCCAAACCTAACTCGTCTCCCCTTTCCCTGCCCCTCCCCCGTTCCATCTTTATCCCCGCCCCCATCCCACCTCTACTCCCAATTCCCAGCGCCACTCCATCTCTTCTCCCAATCATACCTCCCTCGCTCCACATCCCAATCCCGTCCACACAACCCCTCCTTATTACTGCTCCTCCTTCTAGACTCCCCTCGAACCCTTGCAGGCCACCCGTTCGTCCTCCCATCCGGCTAGGGTTTCTCTCTCTACCCGGGTCCCATCCCTAGGTCGCCCCCTTCTCGCTCCTTCCTTCCAATACATACACACACACATACGCATTCACTTTACCTTCAGTTTGTTCCATTCTAACCCCCCGGCCGTGTCAGTACGATCACAGGAGAGACACGGAGGCCCGGAGTGGGGCTGGGGTGCGGGCAGCCGCCGCGACCGCGGGGGGAGAAGATCGAACCAAGCTAGGCCGCATGAAATCCCCGGGCTAGATTTTCCCCGCACCGGATGCCTCTGCCATGGCGGCGGGCACGGAAGAGGGCCACGGCCGAGCCGGGCCGGGCGAGGAAGGGAGAGGAGGAAGGCTGCGGGAGGTGGGGTAGGCAGGGAAGGTGGAGGGATGGGGGGTTGCCGCGCAGCCGCTGCTATCAGAGAGGAGCCTGTGGCTGGCGGCCGGGTCGGGGCAGCAGGGTCCTCGGGGCTCGAGTCGGCCTTCGCACGCCTCTGCGCGGCGACCAGTGGACAGTTCCCCTCGGCCTCCGCCGCGTTCCTGGCAGTAGCTACCGCCGCCGCCCGCTCCCGCCGCCGCCACCGACGCCGCGCACAAAGCCCCACCCCCACCCCGACACTCGGAGCGCAGCCGCCGCCAAATCTTCAGCCGCTTATAGGTTGCCGGCCGCGGCGCCTGCCGGGAAATGCAGTCCGGATTTGGGGCACGGGGGGCAAAAGGAGGAAGAGGCTAGTCAGCGGGGCGGGGAGGAGGGGCCGGAACGAGAACCAGAAAGTGAGCAGCCCGAAGGAGTCTAGACGAGAAATGAGACCGCAGGCGATAAAGGCAGAGGGACGGGAAGGAATGATGAGAAGGAGTAAAAAAACAAAACAAAACTAGCAGACAGAGAGAAGACAGGTTAAAGGTTGGGCCTGTGAGGTAAAATTGTGCTCGTGCGTGTTACTTATTAAATAACAGCACTTATTAAATAACACCACATGGGACGACTCAGAGTGACATTGCTATACAATCCCTAGATGTTACAAATAACCTACAAACGTATGCTCGGTTAAAACGACCGGGACAGAGTAGAACAGTTTATGTGCCTTCTTGTCTGTCTTCTGTCCGACAGCTGTCAGAGAATAGCTGCCTATTCCACATGGGTGTGCGTCTGGACACCATGGCAGGAATTTCAGACTTGAGCCTTGCGGGCAGTCTCCCTTTAAACCATGGATGTTTCAGCCGGATGCTCCCCGTCCCCCGTTCCCCC